GCAAACACCTCTGCTCCAGCAGGGGAGCTCTACAGAGCCTGGTACATCTACTCCACGTAGCCTTTTCAGGCATAGACAAGACTTCAAAAGAGAAAGTAAAGCACGTAAGAGGAATTTATAAACTCAACCATAATTAAACCTTAAGAGGAAAGGGAGAGGGTGGGAATGACCATTTTATTCAGAAACCTTCATTCCTTTTCTACAGTAAAATTTATTATGCAGCTGAATTCCCTTTTCTTCCTGACAGACCTAAAAAGGTTATCAACACCATCCATCCTTTCCTAATCCAGCATGCTTTATCCATTGCAAGCTTAACATTTACACAGTTTTGAAATGCACACAAACACCTCTCTGTGATTTAACTTCCAGCAGCTGAACACTACTGCTTCTCAGTGCCTACTTCCACTACTTTGCTATTTTTCTTGTTCCAGTTTGTGTATTTTAATAGCAGATAGACCAATTGGTTTTACTCACCCTTTGGATTTTGGAGACTTGCATCCTGCTAGCAGTTGCTGTTCATCGTCTTTATTGAACATAGATGTCACTTCCTTCCAACCCCGGAAACTTGCACCTTGGACCTATGCAGAGAAGAATGTCCTCATAAGTGTGAATTAGACTTTTAAGCACAGAGGATGGCTGCCAGTACTGATTGTGGGTGGCAGACTGGCAGCACCAGCCCCACCTCTTGGTGCTGTGCATCTGGGAGCACAGCAGCTCTCTGGACACAGCCTGCAGAGGATGGCCAGGCTTTGGAAAGGAGCAGGCTGGGCTACTGCAGCAAGGGCTCTTTCACCCTTGGCTGGTCTGCAGAGGCTGGTAAGTCATGTCAGTGAGCACAGCTGGGCTCCAGGATGCTCTTCTGCAGGCAGGAGCTGCTGGCCCCATTTTAGTATATCCTAGGAAGAAGGGACTCTAGGCAGCTTAGGAAACAGTCTAAGGGGCTTCAGTGGACAGAAATGAAAGTCGCTACCAGAAGGGGCCACAACAGACAGGATGGCCAGGTGAATTATGAAACTCTTCAGGTTTAATCTGCTTTGCACTCATTGTTACTATTTTTAACTCACCACACTACTGCTCGTGACCCTGCAAGCAAAAAGGGCCGGGCAGTGGCTCACCAGTGGAATCTAACACATGGCATTGGTGCATGACACTGTGCTCTAAACTTGCTCTGACCACTAAACGTGTAGTGTAAATTATGTTTCCAGCATTAATAAAGGTTTGATTCCCTCTCTCTCCTCTAAAGGAAAAGAAAAAGAAAGAAAACAAAAGTATTGTTTATTTTTATTTGGATAGCCTGCTTAGGGACTCCAACAGAACCATAGCTGTGTGAAGAGCACAGAACTGGCAAGCTGCTGTCATTTCTCACAGGGTCTAGCAGGAACGGCAGAGTGACAGTCTATCAGTGTTGCTTGATTACAGAAAAAAAAACAACAATACATTATCAAGTATAATAAACAATCAAAACAATATTGTTGTCAACACAAACAACGGCTAATTCATCACCTATTCTTACGCTTCATCCTTTTTGCAGAACTCAGTGGTGCAGATTAGTATCAATTTGGCATTTAGGTTTTAATCGATTACAGTTTATAACTGGTACATCCACACAGGCCTTAAAACATCACCTACAACTTGAGCACAAACACCAGAGAGAAAAATACTGGTACTGCCAACTGCTCAACTTTCAGAAACCCACAACCTCTACTGTTTACAGGAGTAAAACAGCATTCTTGTTATTGCACATTAGTCATGGAGCATTTCCATCTCTTGCTCTCCTGCTTCACTATGTCCTACACCTTCCTTTCTCACCCACCTTCCCTACTCACATCTGAACCCCTCCACTACTCTGACTCAGGAGACATAGCAGGTCCATTTTAGGATGGGGAGGAAGGTCTAACCTAGAATGTTTCACTCCGGTTAGTTACAAACATGGATCCAGCTTTGAGTAAAGCTCTGGAGAACTCTAAAGAAGGAAGGCTGAGCAAGCCCAAAGCAATTTCCAACTCTCATTCATGAGATATGGACAGGTTAGGTACACGAAAGCCAGGTTCACCACAACTGCTCTGCTCACCTCTTCTTATACCCACACCTAATCTTACCATAAACCACAGCATTTCTCATGGCTTCACAAGAAAAACAACAGATTCTGGTTTTTTCCCTGCTACGAGAAAAAAAAAATGAGGACAGATTGTAATAAGCAAACTCTCATGTTTAATTTAAACATATGCTTTCTATTCTTAGTTATGTTAAAAATATGTAGTCAGCTAACTTCAACTTTGCTCCCCATGGCAGACTCACTGTACCCACCCCACAGAAGACTGCTGCTGTTGGTAGTATAAGACAAAACAACACAAGCTGAAGATGATACCTTCAAAGAGATACCTTGCTACACAAAATCCTTGTGTTTCAACTATCAGCCTCTCCAGGCGGTACTCAACATTTAATGCTTCTGAGGTGTACAGAATGGTCTAAACCCTCAATTTTAATCTAAAAAGGCCTAATCCTGTTATCCGTTTCTGTTGTTCACTTATATTCTGTAACAAGTTTAACAAGAGGATTTGTTACTCTGATTTGGCTTCCTCTCACTGCAAAGTACTCCATCCACAACAAATGTCCTAAAAAATGAAGAATCTCCAAGAAGTTAGCTGCTGAAGGAAACGGTCTGTTTAAAGAAAGACAGAAGAAAAGGAAAAAAGAAAGAAAGAAAAAAGAAGATAAGCTCTAGAAAGCACTTAGGTTTTCATATTTGAAAAAAATCCTTAATCTTCTGTTACCTTACTCAAACCCTATTTCAGGCCTTTTTGGGAAAGGAACGTTTGCTGCCACAGGCAAACCCAGTTAAAAGCAGCACATAACAACCCTTACTGCCTTAATCCTTTAAGCCTTTAAACTGGAAAAAGACCCAAATATACCTAAGTGATCTAATTATATATAAGCCTGCCCTTCTTCACTACTGATGTTTCATCAAGTCATTCCCACATAATAAATCTACAGATTAAAAAAAACCAAACAAACAAACAAACAAACCATCAAACTCACAACATAACCAACCCACCACTTTGTTACAGGTTTTCTGGTACCAATGTAATACAGAGGACTAGCTTAATTTAAACTATACATGCCTTTAAAGAACAGCATTGATGAAAGATTATTTGGAGCTAAGCATTTATACACACACGTTTAATGTAAAAAAGGATATACCTACCCATACACCTTCTTTTAATCTAGAACATCACAGATACTTCACCTATATGACTCCAACCTTCGCTGCACTGTTTTGGATACTGTAATGGTTTGAAACCTGCTGCCCCTGGTGGGGGGAGATCTGAAACCCTAAACCAGGTACAAGCCTGAATGAAAGGGGCGTACACCTGTCCTATTCCCACTCCCCTTTTCCTGTCTTCGGGACTTCCTGCCAAGGTCTATAAAAAAGGGGAGAAAGGCACGCCTCTTCCTCTTCTCTCTTCCTCTTGCTCCTTGGACCTTGCACCTGGGCACACGCTGCTCTGCTGCTCCCTGTGCTACACGTGGCCGTGGCCATCTTGGAGACCTGGGCCTGATCTACAGACTCTTCCCTGCCTCCATCCACGTCCAAGGATTGTGCATCCAGCTTCAATCCACCTCAATCCAGCGAGATCCAGCACCGGGGAGCCTCAGCATAGCATTTGGGTTTTGTATATTTGGAAGTTTAATCTTCCTTACCTTGCTGTTCCTACAACCCCCCTTCCCTGTTAAACCCCTACCCTTCTTCCTTTCTGTACCCTGTTAAGCCCCTTCCCTTCTTCCTTTCTGATCCCTGTTAAATAATATATTTCATTTTGTTAATCTTCAATTTGGTGCAAGGTTTTCATTACCCCTGCCTTCCTTATTTACCTCTCTATCTGGGAAACTGAGGGATAAGGGAGGTGGGACACAGTTCTGCCTTCTAACCGGGACAGAACAGATACCTAAGCAATCCTCCAGCAAAAAATAAAATTAAATTAAAAAAAGAACCAAAACCATTGCATAACAAAACCCTATTAATATCTTGCCACAAGCTTTCCATATTTTTAACTTGTATTTTAAAATTTTACATTAATTTCATGAAGCCAAATTCTGATTTACAGTTATCTTTAAGAAAAATTATGAGAAATGTTCTATTAAATGTGAAGAACACAGAATGTGAAGGTCTCCAGAAAAAAATTTATGAACTCCGCACTCATTCTACTGGTATGTAAATCAGTACCTATGTTAACATTGTACCATTCCTTCAACTTTTTCATAAACAATCCCACAATTGATCCATGATTTAGTAGGTATAGACAGGGGTAATAACCATGTAGCAAATTCTGATTTATTCTTCTCTCAACTAGTGCTTATAGGAAATGTACACTAAACCTTTAAGACATGCTTGCACCACTTACTTATTTGGGGTTTCCAAAGGAAATACTGCCAGGATAGTCCACATAAGAGCATCAAGAGTAGACCGTATTTTGCTAATATGTGATGAAAATCATTGCACAAATCCTACTGCATATTAAATGGACTACACTGAAAGAAACCCTGTAAGTGCAAGAGTAAAACCAGGACCTCTGGCTACTGTGCTTCAGTCTCCTCTTCTACTCCTGTCTGCACCAGCACTGCTCTTCTGGAGCATCTTTTCACACAACTGAAAAGGAGCAAACAGCTCACTCTTGATGGGCTACTCAGTGGTACCATACTTAAGAATACAAACCTTAGCAAATGAGGAAGTCAAATACTTATTTCCCACTTCCAGAAGCTATTTTTTCTTACTAGTGAACTGTTTAAGCCAACAATTTCTTTTTGACTATGGCTGTCACATAACCCTCTCGTGCATTAAAAAAACCCTTGAACCAGCCTGCTGCGTTTCTGCATTTCTTCTCAGTGTCCCTTGAAGACTTCAAATCCACTTGCAAGTATCAACAACACCACAACTGGAACAGTCACAACTGTATCTGCTGGTTGGTACAGCTGAGGCAGATCTTGAAGTCACCACTCTCTGAAACCAAGTTTGACGTGCAGCAGATGCAAAGACAAGAAAAGCTGGGAACCATCACAAAAAGGATTAAATTCAGACAGCAGATCAAGAAATGGATATCCTCTCTTTAGAGGGATGCACCCTCTAACATCTCAAAACAACGATTCCTGATGTTAGGGGAAGAGGGCCTAGAACTTCTCAAGCTGTGCTCTCCCCAAACAGCATCTCCTGTTGACACAGTCTTAACACTGGCTGCTGGACTAGACGGGCCAGTCTGAATCAGCTGGGAATTTCTTACAATCTTAAACAGCATGTAGAAAAAATCCAGATCTCAGAACAATTAGCTTCCCTGCAATGGATGTCAAAAGGGGGTCAATAAATAAAGATGACACTTTGGTAAGCTGACTGCTCCCCACACTGAAGACTTATTTTATAGAAAAGGATTAAAGTTATGCAAAGTATGAAAATAGAGTACAGAAACAGTCTTAAAGCATTAAGGCACTTGAAAAAGTTCTGTATTTCATTTTTATGATGTATCTGTCTACACAAAGCTCAGAAGTCCTAATTTTTCAAAGAAGATTACATACATAGCTGACTAGT